TATAATCTTGCAGCGGAAGCCATATATAAGCTGCTAAAATCCAAAATATTGTCGAGAATGTCAACGGCTTTGGTTTACACGAGCTATCTGAGACCAATACGGTTACCTACGGATGAGACACATGGACAACAACAAAAGGCGACGTCGAAATCGGGTGGACACTCGGAAATTTCTTCTGTGTAGTGTATAAAATACAACATAGAGCGTTTAAAAGAAGAAAAAATGAAAATCTGTACAATCTGTGTGGAAAACCGAATATGCCGTCGTATCTGAGGACAAAACGATTAGAATGGTTTGGACAGCGGTGAAGAGCCGAAGACGGTTTAATAGGACGAGCCCTTAACAGAACCATTCATAAGACAAGAGCACTAGGCGGGCCACAAAAGATTAGTGTAAGCCGTAGAGAAGCGCATACGAACTGCGGCTAAAAATGTTTCGATGAAACTAGCATTTGAAAGGGCGCGATGAAACATTTTCTTTAATAATATTCGTTTAATATTGTACCTATTTTCTGGTTTTCCCCGTTTTCCCATATTTTTTCAAATGTTTATTGGGAAAACTCTTAGGGAAATTAAAATTATAACCTCCCTACTCGTAAATCCCCTGTCAGATTTCCTTTCAGAAAAGTGTTATCATGATAAATCGGAGCAAAACTGCTGGTATAAAATTTGTTCATAGATAAAAATAAATAAATAATAAAGATCATTGTGAAACTACTTAGAACCTAAAAAAAAAAAATATTGCTTTACAATCGACTTTTTTTTAAATTTCCAAACATTTTTGTCTAAAAATTTTATCTACAGAGTACTTACAAAATAAAAACTACGTAAAAAGCCTGCAAATTTAAATGTCTCTAAATAGCACAAAAATGGCTCAAAGGTTTATTAAATTTTATGACGTCTAGAAAATGCAAATATAAAATGTTGACAAAAGGTTTCTATGAATATTTTTTGTAGAAAACGTAAGCCGTCAAAATTAAAAATAATGAAATCGATGTGAAGTAATTTGAAAAAATCATATTTTTTAGTATTTCCCCAACAAAGATGAAAAATAATTAAAATATCTAAGAATAACTCACTTTGTCAGTGGCCATAATATATTGAAGGAGACAAAATCGATGATTTGTTATTTTTCATTTTCATTTCAAACAAGATTTCGGGTGGATAACATCGTTTACAAGATTTAATATAATTAAACCAGGACGCCACGTTGCCATAAATATTAATCAGTTTTGATTTTTTGGTTGTTCCCGATTATTTTGAAAGCTGCTTTGGATATCGAAAAAATAATTTCGTTAAACGCTTAATGTATGCTCTTAGGAACAAAATCAATCTCGTGTTATTTTTCGATTGAATCGATGTTTCTGTTAGAAAACATAAGGTGCAAAAATTAAAATCAATGAAATTAGTAACCCGTCAACTGTACCGACTAAACAAAATTTCCGTTCAGAAAAACCGTCGAAAATACCAATAGTTGTCGTTAATTATTGTTACCGTGTTACTTTAAATATATGAAATATTCCAGAGTCTCAAGCAGGACGGTAATAGTTTAAAACGAGTTTAATAATAAATCGTTCTTGATATTTTTGACTTTCTGTTTTTGCAATTGTATCAAAGTCGGTTTTATACAACATTTGAACCTTCCGAAATAGAACGATCCATATAGATATATAGATTTATATGTATCTACAGATTTCCAATCAATAGCGATGGACCGCAGTGTATACGACTTTTGAACTTTCCGCTTTACTTGAAAAAGTATACGTAAGTGTTGTTGCGCCAATAAAACAAAAACGCAGCGTTTTATTATACTATACCAAGAATACACTACATAAAACAACAATAATAATAATAATAATAAGGAAATGTCGGCGGTAAGAAAATAACTTTTCTCGCTAATGCTCCCAGATCATTTAAAATTTTAATTACCACACCTCGTAATAAATACCTACCTAACAATTATTATAATACGTATCCCTCTGTAAGCTATAACGAGTTGCGATAAAACAATAATTGTAATACACGCGAAAATACAAGTGCATTTACACTATCAGCTTGTTACGTGGAGTCAATTTTTAAACGGTACGGTCAATGTAATCGTAGTAGTCACAACTACCGCCTACCAAGTCAGCTGCAAACATAACCCACCCCTCCCCTCGAAAACCACGTAACAATATACTGATTTAACTTATTCCGTAATTTGTAGAATTTTTTAAAAACATATCTTCAACACAAAAAAAGCCGGAAATCTTCGCACTTGGGAGCAGCCACTATTGTAGTTAGAAAGATAGGACGCAGGAGGGAATTTAATGTATATCTGTGAGTAACGATAAGCCATTGCTTATGAAAAAACGATTCTGAGCGGAGTTTAATGGATGGTATTGCTTTGTCAACAATATATGTATGTATACATATATCATATTTTAGTAAAATAATTACATATGCATAAGACATTTTCTTTAATAATATTTGTTTAATATTGTACCTATGTTCCCATATTTTTTCCCATGTAAATTGGGAAAACTCCTGGGAAAATCAAAAAATTACCTTGTTTAAGTTTCTCCCCAATCAAATTTCCTTTCTGAAAAAGTGCTATCATTGTAAATCAGAACAAAATTGCTAGTAGAAAAGTCGTTTAGAGGAAAAAAAAAATAACAAACATTATCGTAAAACCATAAGTTTTTTCGTTTCACTCAGAATCTAAAATAAACTGTGATAATATTGTATTTTGTACTAAAAAAACACGAATAACTTGAGTTATCGAGATAATATCGTATGTTATAATATGCAATAACACATTAACCAAGGATCATACAAATAATTATATAATTCATCAACCAACATCACTCCAAAAAAAATGGTCTGGCCTCCAAACCTGTGTCCCACGTGTTCGTTAAATAATTAGTCTTATTTCAATTAAATTTCTCATCTTTGTTTTGATTGTCTAACGGTTTATTGATTTAACAATAATTTATAAGTATGAGATTTTTTAAACTTAAAAACACTTCCGGTATCAAAAAAAAAAAAATAAATAAAACAGCGGAAATAATCACTGAAACAGTTCATTATAGAACAGCAGTATTTCTTAGTTTTTCCAAAATAATCATCCGACTGACTTTAGTCACGTAATGTTCACTATCAAAAACAACGGACATGTTTTGCACGATGGGTGAGCCACTGTTGTAGGTGACAAGTTGGGGAAATTTAAAGTATTTTTATAGGTACGCAACGATTAATTATGAGAAAGGATTCTGAGAGGAATTTGGTTAATAATGTTGCTTTAAAAATTGAACTTAAATTCTTACTAAAATAAATCTACATTACACTATTTGTTTCTTTTAACGACAAAAAACGCCTTTTAATGATCATCCTGTTAAATTTTCTGTTAGAATTTCTATTTGGTTGAACAATTTTATCTAGAGAACACATTACTTAGGTATTGAACAAAAATTACGTAAAAAACCTCTTGTAAAATTAAAATGTTTGTAAAAAACTCGAAAAAGGTGCTTTGAAAATTTTACCACGTATATAAAAGTTAAATATAAGGCTACTGTCTATGTTTTAAGTCTCTACAAACATGATAAATTCAATTACAACAAAACAAAAATGCAAATTTTAAAATTACAAAGCATTATATTCGTAACTTTTCTCGTTTTTCCTACGTTTTTTACCGGTTTTCACCATTTAGAATGAAAACTCCTAGAAAAATTAAAAAATAACCTCTTTTAAGTACTATCCCAGGCATATTCCGTTTTAGAAAAGGTGCTACACTTGATAATTCGTAGCAAGATATCTTATCTTATCTTAGTAGAATATTTATACACTGTGTCCAAAAAAAAAAAAATGAAAAATAAACATCATGATTAGAACACGGATGTTGATATAAATTTGATTCATCACGTCAATGCTACAAATAGGCTAACTTTGTTTGCATATTTTTGCATATAAATGCATATATTGATAATTTCTAGATTAAGTGACATATTCATAATATTTTAAATATAATATAAACATAACACTTTATACGGACGACTATAATTCGTTGGAAAGTAAAAAATTCAAATATGTATATCACTATGTATACACGAATGTCGGAATCGCCTGTGGACGATCATTAATCATCAGCTTATCACCTATCGATAACAGACTAACAGTATAGGTACAGGTAATTTTAATAGACTTCTCACAGAATACTCTACATGGTGGGTTTATCTACGATTTTGACGAGTTTATATTTTTTTTAACATTTAATATTTTCAGTTTGCTGCAGCCCGCATATTCTATGATTTGTTTATTCAGTTATACAACTTTTCTGATACACGTTTCTTTAAAAATATATATTTACAAAATTCCGAAATGTTCGTCAAGTTTAAGTAGTTTTGTGATAGAGTTTGGGGAACATGTATTTAGTTCCGATGGTAAAATATTATTTTGCAAATGCAGTTTGAAGATTAAGTGTCTGCAAATAAACGATTTTTATTAAAACAACACTTGAAAACTGCAAAGCATGAGCATGCAGTAAATCATAGAAAAAGACGTGAACAAAGTACAGTTCAACTGTTATTTACACAAAATACAAACAAGAAAAGTGATTTTAACTTACTGAAGCATTACTGTCAGCTAATATTCCATTCAACGAGGTAAAAAATTTTAAAATTAAAGAGTTTTTAGAGAAGTATACTTCTAAAAATATCCCTGACGAATCGACCTTAAGGAAAAATTATGTAGATGATATTTATAAAAAATGTTTAACCAAAATACAAGCCGAGGTCTTTAATCTGTAAAATTTGGGTATCAATCGATGAGACCACGGATTTTGACGGTCGCTACATAGCCAATATTATTGTGGGCATACTTGATTCTTAAGTACCCGATAAATTCATGCTTGTTAATTGTGAACGTTTAGAAAAAATAAATAGTACAAAAATAGCTCAACTCTTTTATAGACCTGAACACAATAATATTTTATTGTTGTTAGTGACGCCGCACCATACACGTTAAATGCCGGAACAGCGATTTAAACATTTTTTACCAAAAATGCTTCATGTAACTTATCTCGCTCTCGCTCTACATCGTGTAGCTGAGAAAATCCGTAGTGATTATCCGTTGGTTGACAAACTTATTTTGTCCGTTAAAAAAGCATTATTTAAATGTCCAGCAAGTATAAAAATATTTAAAGATGAAGTACCAGAACTGAATTTGCTCCCAGAACCAGTGATAAGGCATTGGGGGACGTGGTTGAACGTGGCTATTTATTACTGCGACTCGTATAAAACAATAAAAACAATAATAGAAAAATTTGATCACGATGATACTTTGTCTATATAAACAGCTCAAAAAGTTATGAGTGAACGTAGAGTTGAAGCTAATTTAGCTTTTGTTAAATTAAATTTTTTATTCTTATCTCCGGCTCTAATATCTCTCAAAGAAAAGGGGAAATCTCTATCCAGTTTGGTTGTCATTATAAACGTCGTTTCAAAAAAATTATCAATCACAATTTCATCTCCTCAAGGTATATCAATATACACAAAATTTCAAAAAGTTTTGGACAAATGTTCTGGGTATAAAGTATTGTCCAAAATTTCAAAAATAATAGATGGCAAAACAGATTCGCTTGATGGGATTCCTGAAACTATAGAGACTATCGACACCGTTAACTTTAAGTACGCACCGGCCAACTCTATAGACGTGGAGCGGTAATTTTCAGTTTACAAAAACATGCTATCAGATCGTCGAAGGTCTTTCAAATTTGAATATATATCCAAAATCAAATCGATGTTCTACAGTGTAATCTTGATATTTAAATTATTTAACGTACGTAACATTATATATCCTTATGTATTTTGCAATGAAGTTATTTTAAAATCATTTACAAAACAAAAATTATTCCGAAATACTACTATCCCCCATTTTTATGTACCTATATATTTTTTGAAAAATAGATATATTTAGTATACATTTTATAGTGTTTATAATTTATTTTGAAGTAATATTAACATTTTTTTCGCGTATAATTTTTTGAATATATTTGTCGAAAAGTAGGTATATTTGACAAACTTAAGGGTATATAATTGTATATTTGGAAATTTTTAAACGCATATTTTTATGAAATTTTGGTCATTAATATCCGAGCTCTAATCATGATAAAAACCAATGCATTCCTTGCTCCGCTCAGAATTAAAACATTCACACAAATAATATCGTAATATATTATACTATACACGGTGCTTTCTAATTGTAAAAAATGTCAAAGTAAAAGTCGAATCATACAATTTCATATCTGTTTGTACAATGTTTTTTTTCGCTCTTACAAAATACGCCACTTCATACTCGTAGAAAACATATAATAATATATTTTTAATTTTAACGATTAAAAAAAAAAAAAAATAAAAATAAATAACTTCTGTAGAAAAAAATAAACTAAAACACATACATAGATAATAATATGTACAAACGTATAGGAATATGATCACTACTATACTTTTATTTTATTCAAAAGTCTAAGTACTTTACGTACCGAATATGTTGTTTTTTTTTTTTTTTAATTTTACCTAAAAATAATTTATTTTGTGATCTTTTATGCATGCGGAGGTTTTTTTTCGGTTTACTGAAGCCATTGTGAAACATACTGTGTCTACACAATTAACATAAAGTCAATTGCATTTTTTTCTTTTTTTTTTTTTATGAACGCCGAGAGATGAGAAAAATACTTACCTGCTTACGTTCATAGTTTAAAATTATTCGAAAACATAAAACGTGTTGTTTTTTTTTTATTTAATTAAAACGTCCGTGATAAATATAAAATAGCATTAATTTTTCGAAACGCTTTCTTAAGTTTCTTAAGTTTCTTAAACAAGTATCTTTGGTCCCGACATTTTGTTCGGCCGCGCTTAATGGCATTTAGTACAGTTTTCTTTTGGTGTATAACTCGAAAACCCTTATCAACGGATTTCGTTGCGTACTTATACATACTTTTTTTTTTCTTTTTTTTTTTTTTACTCGTGGTTACACGGCTAGTTTTACAATATTATTTATGTTATCTTTTAAAATGTTATTATTAAAAGCACCATAACCATACCAACGGACAAATTTCAGTCGCGGTAAACCTACCGTTTGTATAATCACACCGAGAATACTATTTAAATAATATTATATACTTGTATTTTTTTTTTTTTGACGCATAAATTAATTTACATAATTTCTGGGCTTAATTCAAAAAATAAATAATATATTCGATCACGTAAAATACATAATAATGTATAGTAAATAGTATAAACAATATGGATATAAAGATTAACCCGAAATTGTATACAATTATTATTATTATTATTATTTTTATTAATATTATTCTAGAACTGTCGAGAGTTTTTTTTTTTGTTGATAAATGCCCACTTCATAATATAATGTCACAATTTTATTTTAACATTAAATATGGTAAGTTTAATTGACCGATCTGACTGGCCTAAATTGACTGAATGAACGAGTAATGCGTAGTGCCCACGAGAAAACAATAGCGCCCTCTCCCCCCCCCCCCCGTTAATAAGCGTATCTATTACAATATCGACTGATCTGAATAATTGAATGGACGACTAATTACTTTACTAAAGATAAGTGATTATCATGTTATTATTTTCTCGTTGGCACCACTGCCGAACTCGTTTCGAACGCATATTCTGCGATTACCACTGATATTATTTTCTCTGTGTGAATTTGTCCATTAAGTCCATCCGTGATTCAGTTCGGTCAATTAGACATGCCCGTATAGTTTCGGCTATTTTTTATTACAATACACATTGCAGCCGGCTTTCTTGTGGTAAAAAATGAAGATTTTGATGGGGTCTTGCGGCATACCAAATACGCTTAATTAATGAAATCTTCGCCGATATGTGAATGCACAATACGATTTTATTGTTCTAATTCTTCTTCAAACAGTTTAAGAGGTCATTGAGGCATTTTTACAATGGGACAAAAACTTGCTTCCATTTCACTCTGTTCTGCGTGGAGAATTATTTTATATTATTTATTATTTATACCAGTATGTCAATATTAATTATAGTTTTTGAGTTTTACTATTGCTTATTGAGTACTTACCATTAACTTACGTATAAATATAAAACTAGAATAACTTCTTCACTATTTAACTTAACTAATCTTCATATAAAATTGAATTTTTATTTAATAAATATTTATTTAAATATAAATTTTCAGTATGGCTATAAATTATATCAATTTGTACAACGTCTAATAAGTAATTGCATTTATTAGAAAAATAATATTTTAATAAATTGATTAATCTTATACAAATTAAAACCCAAAGTTTAGCTGATCAATACGTTTAAAAAATACAAATACAAATCGAAATTTGTGTAATCATTGTAAAACCCGTTATTTATACTTCAAAAATATGTGTTTCGGTTAGATTAGGTTAAGTTCTTGTTCAAAAAAAGAATTTATAAATACCCGAACTGATTCTTTTCGATTCGTTTCCGACCCGAGATACTGAACTTATATGGTCATTCGCTTTTAGATTCTGAGTTTTGATGAAGGTTAGTGGTTTCTGGAAACAAATTGTTTCGTTTTAATTTAATTATTTCTCTTATACTTTCCTGAATGGACAAAAACCGGGAAAAACTGGAATGTTACGATTAACAGGTACGATTTGTTTAATGTCGATTTTTGGTTTTTTGATTGTAATTCTATGTAAAATAATGAGACGTGCACAATATTTTTATGGAGAACTCATAATTCATATATGCTAATTGTTTATATATGTAATACAATTTTTAACATATTCCGGCGTTTTTCGAGTAGTTTATAAGTATTTTAAACTAAGTATTTTTTTATTATTTTTTTCTTTTAATTTTAAACATCATAATCAAATCTATCAACACAATTCACTGTGTTATGATAATGTCGTTTAATACGAGTTTTATTTATGTTATTGTCATCCAATTTTATTTATGAATATTTATAAGGTTGATTATATACCGCAGATCAAAACGCGGTGACGGTATAAACAACGTTTCGGAAACGCAGCGCGCAGGTAATAATATCGTATCGTAGACCCAAAACGGTATATTTGCATTTATTACACGCAGTCTCCTATTATATTTATATACATTCAATTTTCCATAAATTACGTATTTGTAATCTTATAATCGACAATGCAATAGCGACTGTTAACTATTGATTATTTCTGTTAATGGCATTTTTTTTTTTTTTGCATCATCTTTCTCTCTCTTTCTCTCCCAAAGGACAGATCGTTTATTTTTATGTGCAGTTTTGAGTAAACACTAAACTGCAGAGTCTTTGTAATATTACCGCATATACAAAGTAGGTTGTTTGGAAAGTACCTTCTTTATTTCTCGCGGTTCATATAATATTGACCATATTTTATTAAAACCGCGACTGCAATAAGGGTCGGCAATTTCGTACGGTTCATCTCAGGCTCTATTCGTGTATTGTGTATATTCAACTCGTATTGTTTAATGTGAACATTCTCTACTATTTCTATGATCCCTAGGAAGTCGATTTTGTATAGTTTTCAATATAACCCAATACAATTTTGAAAATATATAAACTTGTACATAAAAAAAATATACATCAGTACAAAGCTCTGTCACCAGAAAATAATTTTCCCTCGGCTGACTTGTTGCCATTACAATATTTCATGTCTTAATTGTTCTCGTTAATTTACTCAATTTGTATTTATTTATGATTTGTACTCACTTGGAACCCTACTAACCTAGACTACACGTACGTAGCCACTACATCAAAATGATAATTTAATGATAATTTATTAGACGATAATTCGCTCAGGTACGGCTTTTAGGATAGGGAAACTAAAATAATATTACACGGTTTTGTTCAGAACAACTTGAATGGGAAAAAACTGTACATCATGGAAAAATCAAAGCTATTAATCTACCTACTAAGTGTTTTCGAAAACCAAAAACAATTTTAGTAAAACTAATATATAGCTTCTAAAAAAAAAGTGTATAATATTTATAAATTCTTTAACTTTTAAGCTTCAACTGAAAGTTTATTATTTATTACGTTTAAAATGGTTTTTTAACTATATATACAAATATTTTTTCATACAGGAAAATCCGCGTTTTCGGTTTGTTTTCATAAGTCAATTATAACATTACGAGCATCATGCAAAACTTATTTTCCGGCGGAGTTTCCAAAACCTCTTTCGTTTTTATTAGTTGCCCCATTTTTGGGGGGTAGGAGTTAGAAATTGAGGTAAAGGGATAAATTTCCATTTATAATTATTTATTTAGGTACCATGATGTAAACATTTTTAAAAAATAGTTAAATTCGAATCTCCGACAAACTGTTACGATTTTTTCAAAAAAAAATTCAGAGAAGTACCTCGTTTTGTTTGCAATTATAGATAATCAGAAACATTATTTACATTCTTTTAAACGCGAGACTGATTTATAAGAGAATTACAATTATAAATGGAAAGGTCTCTTCATCACGAGAGTCGTTGTTACCCGCGAAAAGTAATATAATCTTTTTTCAATTATTTAAAAAAAACATATACATGGAATAAATATAATCAAAGCAAATTAAATTAAAATTAAAATTCTGAAAAATTAAAAATACAAATATTTATTCGCTGTTTCACGATTTAATGAATCGACTACGGATAACTGTTGAAAATCATTTCCTACACGGAAAGTAATACAATACGAAATGTATTTATTTTAATAAGAAAAAAAATAATCGAAAAAAGTTTCGATATGTAGTGTTAGAGAAAAATACAATGCGAGTCAGGACGGTAGTATGAAGAAAAAAAAGAATTAAAGTTAAAAGATGGGCTACGATTGGACGTGCTCTAAAACACAAAAACAAGCTTTATATATCATAATAGAAAAGAATAAAAAATAATGGCAAGAGCGTCCGAGGGCGACCAAGAACATAATTTATCAACAATATAATCATATGGTGCAGGACTAACAAACTACAGAGAATTGAAGAGGGCGAGCGGTATGCTGGTAATAGAGACGAATGGATAAAATATGGAAAACCGAAAACTCAACTTTACGGTTGAATACCGGAAAGGATACATAGAATGTTATATCGGTTGACCACAACCGTCGTTGTGTTTTTATCATATCGAAAAAAAAAAATCAAATATAGTATAGTAATGGATTTTCTGATCGTTTTTGGTGAAACGACGGCAATTTATTATCTTATTTATTTTTTAACGAGACATATATGGTTTTTACGTGTACTGCCTTTTTCTAAAATCAACTTTGTCATCGTTCAATTTTTATTAAATTTAAGATGTTCTCTTTGTATAGTTCGGAGCTATAGCTAAGTTCTAAGAGCTTTAGTTATAGCTAAAGTTTTAAAATCCTTATAAATATCACAGAAATCGCCAAAAACGTTTCAATATGTTGCCAAGTCTTACAAAAGTATAACTTTTTTATACGATTTCGGTAAAAATGTCAGGCCTCTACAATTATGTCCACGAAAAAGTAAAATCGAAAATAATGAAATCATAACTGCCGTAACCTCTATTGTTTTTCTCCGAGTTTTCCATCAGTTCTTCACAATCACTAAGAAAACTATAATGAAAATCAAAATATTACTTGCTTAATACACTGGCTAGATAACAATAGAAATGTTAATGATGTCATTATATAGTTGCAGGTCAAAGATTAAACGACTATTAATCAAAACATGGGCGATTCATTTCCGATCGTTAGATTTTATAAATTGCATTTCTGTCGTAATTATATAAAAATATAATTTATTTTTTTTTTTTTTTTTTTTTTTTTTTAGAAATTCTGTTTATTCCTTAAAACGTCTCGTCGACGTCATTTCCACTGTTAACCCTCGTCGACCAAGACAAAACCTTTCAATAAAAAAAATATTAATTTATTATTCATGTATTTCCCGTGATTATCGATTATTTTCGAATAAACATTTTTCACAAAAATAAATAACGACGATCGTTATGTACAAATATTTACAATTGCGTTGAAGTAATAATAATAAAGAAAAAAAAAAAACGGAAAATATACGACGGGGCATATATACTCTGTAAAAAGTGGCAAAAAAATAAATAAATAAAAGGTAGAAAGTTAGTCAGAACGCTATCCCGTCCCGTTATTAAACTGAATACATCATATATGGTTATCTCAGTACAAAATTCATAATAAAGCTCTGGGAATTTATTATTAAAAAAAAAATTAATAAAAGGTTACATGAACCACGCAAATCTAAAAGTGTCTAATTCAACATTTTTAATCGATGATGAAAATGCACTTCCGTTCTGTGTAATAAGGTCGAATATTTTTGTAATTTTCCACGATAAACACACACACGATAACATATTGATACTGCAATATTGTAAAAAGGAATATATTTCTTAAAGTTGATGAGAAGATTGGGATTTTATTCCCATCAATGCCCAATCATGTAACTCGACAAATCGAAATTTGATATCACATCCATGTTTCTACGTAGAAACACGAGGAAAAAATAATAGAGACGTACGGTAATTAAGAATAATTTATTTTACAAGTGTACATTGTTAGTAACGATGAATTGAAAAAAAAGAACTATTCTAAGTAGAAATCAATAATCTGAGAAGTTTTATTTTGAGAAGGTCTATTTTTGCCATTTATTTTTTTAATTGTACCTATATAAAAACTCTACATTTTTTTTAAATAAAACACCATTAGGTGAAAACCCATCGCATCTTTTTAAAATGTGATAAAAATTGCTACAAAGAACTTTTTTACTAACCGAAATAATGTTTTTCAAGAAAATTGGTGAAAACCCCTTCTCTTAATATGGTACATGAAAAATCGAAGTGTTTTACCAATAGAAAAAGTGAAACAAATTTTTTGCGAATCAAAAATCTAAATAATTACTTTTTTACAATAAAATAAAAAATCTGTTAAGTTTTTCTCTCGATTCTGTTAGCAAACATGTCTCAAGTATTTTTTGTTATTCTAGTTTTTTTTTTTTAAGAAAGATTTTTTTTTCAACTGCGTTTTAAGTGTCCTCAAAAGTAGCTAAACTTTTCATCACTGAATCGTCGAAAATTATACTAGTTATTGTATACCTAATTATTATTTAAATTTAAAGCCGCAACAACTTTGCCCGCTACTTTGTTAAATTTTACATGTACTTTGTTTTATTTGTTTTTACTTCATAACGGTTTTTCAAAGATATTGATTTAAAAATGAAAAGATAATATTAATTTGTTGTTTTCAATTTCCAAGAAGATCTCGCACCTTGGCCTTGTGAACAACCATACCTACCAAGTTAGGGTAAATAAATTCAGTTTGTTAGTTTTAAACCACCCTTTCGTTCACAGCCCGTGTAAACAATGGGAACCGAAAATCGACAAAGTCCAAAATTCAAGTGTGAGAATCGTTAGTGCGTACGGCGTAAACCTACTTGGTAACTTGCAGCTTTTTATACGGTTTTTTTTCTAATTATACTCTTATTTATCCACTCAGAAAACTACGAGCACCCGAGTGACAGAGAAGCTACCCCGTCCCCCGATACCAATTACCAGTGTTTCCCAGTTTTTTCGACGATAGATCCGAGTCGAATGACCAGCAGTCTCGAGACTTTCGAAATCATCGTCCCACGTCCCTATAATAAAGACGAAACGCTATAAAATTAAGCCAGATAATATAAAATGACCATTCGGTTATTAAAAATATAACACTCGACCTACTTACTTTGCACATGGCAGACTGCGATAACGATAATAATATCTTATCAAAATAATGTCTCGTCGTCCCAGACTCTATTGAACCCCATGCGTTTTTTTGCCCACTTCACATCAGAGGAGACTACTTATCATCATCTAAAAAAAAAAAAAAAAACATTCGTTTAAATATTTTATAATCTACGTTATTATGCGGTATTTAAATTACCTACATTTTCATCTCGCTACGTTTTATCGCATTTCAAAATATTCGTTTCTGGCTTTAAAACCACGGTCGTTGGGTAGCTGAAGTATTTTAATTTTGGAGAAATCTCAAAACTAGGTTAAATTAGATTATATTGACTATTGTGGACAAGTTTAGTCGTTGACATGTTGTTCGTGTCATTTTTCTGTAATAACTCCTTTAAGTATTTACAATCACGAATGCGATAATTTCAACGGTAACTTATTTTCAAATTAATTCTGTGGTATTGAGTTACTGCGTGGCAGTTAAGCAAATTGTAAACGTTGAACTTTAGAAACATAATTTGTTGGGGTATTATTTGGCCAAAATAGAGAAGAAAATTCAATAAGTAATAACAGGAGAAAATGAATATGCTGGCCGTAGAAACAAACTTCACAAAGGGTTAATATTACAATAACCCGAACACGTTACGTTCAGAAATTATGAAAACACAATATTAAATTCATAACCTCTATGAATTGCAGGAAACTCAAAAGAAAGAAGCCCCCTAAGGGAGGCCCGGGAAAAGAGTTTTGGATATGGTTCACAAGGATTTGGAAAATTTAGCAACATAAGATTAGAGAAATATCGTCCAGCATCTAAGGAAATGCGAAGAAATGTAGTGTTGACAGTAAAAACTCGTATTGAATTATAAACATTATAGAAAAAATAATATAACACTCTTATTAAATATGGCCGAGTTTACGAGTAGATCCAAATAAATAAACCCGAGTTATAAGAAAGAAACAAAATTCAATAAATCATAAAATGCATCTACCACAAACTAGATATAGGTGTGGAGACCTAGTCATAAGTAGTTTTTGCACGTTTTTTTTTAATTCAATATCGTGGGTATGGGAGACGATTTACACAAATTAAAGAAAATATTTTTTTCTCTAAATTCGATCGAATTTCCAATTGTCCGATTTACCCGGATACGTGTGATGATAATTGTTTAGGATAACAAAAAACTCGAGCGTCTCGTGCAACGGTAAACTAAAAAAAACTTAGCTCAGTATCAAAATTATATTATACTGGGATCCTTAATAATAAAACACGGAAAATATAATCTAATAAGTAAATATAAACAAAAATAAAAAGGCAATACTGAATTAATGAAAAATGATTACGAATTCCAATGTCACGAAATTCAAATTAAATCAACAGTGAAACAAAAAATAGCCTGACACGGAAAAGAGGCGGTTAATCGGTCAAAAAGTTTGTAAAGAAAAACCAAATTTAATTGGTCAATTATATAACGGGTGAACCAAAAACTTAACAAATTGTTAACAAAAGTTACTACCAACTAACAACAAAAGTGAAGATCGATAAATGTGTTACAATTAAAAAAATAATAATAATAATAGATTACTTAGAAATTATTTTTTTGTCATAATATGGATTCCTCGACCGGTTTTGTCATGATAGCATTATGAAATCACTAAAGCGGACATTATTATATTAATCGTTGTATTTTCTTAATCTATGGAAAATGTTTTAAGTGTGAAATTTACCTGTTTCAAATGTATTATCAACATCATAAAATAGGAGAGAAACTATTTCATAACAAAAAAAAATTATTGCGCAAAAACAAATAATTTCGGAGAACCCGAGTAAATGTCTTTTTTTTTTTTTTTTTACTGTTAAGTCAGAAACAAACTAAAAAAAAAAATAAATGTTCTTACAAATAAAGACATACTTCAGACGTGGGTAGTGGGCGACTGTATTAAGTGAGAAGTTCGGAAAGTGTTAGAAAGGAAATTTAATGTACACCTGTATAAGCAACGATAAACCATTCCTAATGAACAAACGATTCTGAGCGAAGTTCAGTTGATAGTGTTGTTTTGTCAATAATACATTTGACATTATATTATGGTTAAATATTAACATAGGCTTTATGTATTTTCTTTAATAACACTTGTTTAATATTGTACTTATTTTTCCGTTTTTCCCGGTTCCCAATGTTTTTCCCATTTATTGGGAAAATCCCTGAAAAATATCATATGATCTCATTAAAGTACCTCGCCAGTCAGATTTCCATTTAGAAAAAGTGCTATCATTGTAAATCCGAGCAAGATTTGTGGTAGAAAAGTTGTCTACAGAAAAAAATAAATAATAAATACCATTGTAAAACCAAGCCTAAGCTTAAACCTAAGCTTCGTTGCTCCACTCAGAATTTAAAAGAATATGGAAATGTTCAGCTCTCAATAATTATTATTACTATTATTGTTATTATTATTATTATTATTTTCGTTATTATTGTTTATTTCTTCGAAAAAGATAATGGGCCCCACTGAACACGTTCGTGTGGGAACCCAAGTTTTTATTGTTATTTGAATGAAGCCACGTAAAAAAAAACGCGTGAAATTAGAAATCTGTATTAAATTGCTCGTGAAAAGAATTGCAGCTAGCGTTATTTTCAAATGCATTTCCGGTAACCTATATTGAGTTTTAATTGCAGCAGCGCTGATAGTGCATAAATTGTCTATATATTTCCACAAAGAAACGTACAATTATTGCTAGTGAAAAGTGTACGTTTTTTTTTTCCTTTTATAAATCACGCAAAACAACATTTTCAAACAAATGTTTTTGTTACATCGGCGTTTTCTTCTGATTACCTATTATACAAAAAAAAAAACTACCACTCAAGTGGAGTTGACTAAACAACTACGGGTCCGTATAAAAAAAGTTGAAAATCATTAAGAATGTTACAATATGGTAACTTATGTAATTCAGATGATAAAAGCCGGCCATACAGTTCACGCCATTTTGTATGCCACTGTTGTAGAGTTGTAGATTTGGATAAAGGTAAATTTTTGATAAGGGTAATTTAGTTTTTCCTGGAGAAAAAAAAAAATCTTTAGTAAAATCTAGTTTAAACCGTTCAATTAATTATTTTTTTTCTTTCACAACGCAATTATTATTGCAGACAGTTATAATTATACTATAGTAAGTCTAACTATGTACGTTTCAATCGTCGTAAATCCGTTAAAAGAGAATTATTATTAAAACGAGCATAGATACAACAATCACAATAGATCCCGATTGAGGATGAAAACGCACACCGAGCAGAAAACGGAACGAGACGAAACAGCTTTTAGGAGATCCGGATTTATATTAAAACTGAATTTTCATTTGTACAAAAATAATTTAGATAATCAAAATCGTTTTTCAGTAATACTATATTTTTTTCTCCGTTGAACTTTGCCGCGTTTTTTTTTTTTTTTTTAACTGTTAACGATCAAATTGTTAATATAATTGTATATTATCGTACGGCGCGTCGATTATATAAAATAGTTACAGGGGTGTATAGAATACAACGAATGACGTGTTCCTTAGCAAAACGATTACAGAATTAGTTGAAATAGTTAAAATATTATCAATATTGACGTGAACACAAAAATATTATTAATTATTGTCATCTATTTAAGTTCTCGAAATATTCCTTAACCTCAACCCGTAATTTTATCAGATTACAGATAACGCGATAATGTTCGAATTATTATCATTAGCACTTCGCTGGGATTCAATATTATTACCAAATATTACTAGAAAATCGAAAATTAATAGACTTCTTGTAATCGTTACAGCAATTGATGTAGGACAGTTATCAAAGGTCCCACGACTTGACCAGAGTACGGGTGTCTTTTTCGTTTGACACGACGGTCAGTAATGCAGTCCCGTTAAATTGTACATTCCATCTTTTAGAACAAAATCTTACCCGCGATACTTCATACTTAGCGTACGGAAATATCGTGCATATGGAATAATCTTGCAAAAAGAGTTTAATCGAATAAAATTAGCAGGGAGTACAGGGCCGGATATTCTTTTATTTAAAAAATGCGGAAAAAAACTGGAGAGTGTCGATCAAAGTTCGTGTTCAATATGATCCACTAATGAAAGTACGAAAGAGATTTTGAAGACCATTCAAGATGATGAAACAATACAATTTTCCATAAATTAATTAAAGTAAGATTTACCGAGAAATGATTACCAAGAATGTTTTGATTATAATATTTTTACGAGATATATCACCGCGAGGTTCTTGCACGTTGGACGGAAAAACCATTATGTTGTTTAAAAACATGTTGATTTCCAAAACAATATTATGTATTATGATAATTTTGAGGGACTCTGTGTCAGATTTCTGAACCCTACAAACAACGACCGCCCTACAGTTCACATAATTCTTCAACCGTCCAAATTATAATTTGTCACACTTTTAATGGTTTTTCATCTGAATATTTATTTATTTATTGTATCATATCTGCGATTTTCGGTTTGTTTAAATCCGCACAAGTCGATTGTAACATGACGGGCATCGAACACCACTTATTATTATCCGACGGGGATTCCAAAATCTCTCTCATTTTGATCAATTCCCCGATTTTGTTTTGGGCTTCTTTTAGATTGTTCGTCAATATTTCGATCCGGTTTCTTAAACGAGTGTCCACCTATGTACACGAAATATTTAAAACCCGAAATGAAACTGATAAAAATGTTTTTTTTTTTTTTTTTTTAATGATTATTTCCTCTAATGATCGTAAAATGATGATCATATTTGAAAATAATATTCTCTCGCGTTATAACATATATTATACTTACTTCTTCGCGTTTTTGAAATTCGCAACACGCCATCGCTCTACTCTCGGCCAACTTCTGTTCCAGTTCTTGTATATATTCGCCGTAATTTTTCTTCTGACATTCCGAAAAGTCTTTGATTTTCGTTACTTGCATAGCCGCTTCCTCTCTGGCAACGTCCAAATAATCCTTGAGTTGCAACGAATAGTGCGTACGTTCCATGTAGAGTCGATTGTTTTCCTCTATAGTGTCTTCCAATATATTTACCTGGGCTCTTTAAAAAAAACAATAATAATATAAATTTAACACTTGCGCAAGTAGTTATAAATTTAATGTTTTATCGTTTAAATTGTACATTTTAAAATACGGTATGCCACGCGTTAGTTTTAATATTGATGGTCGATAAATAAAAAAAAAGTTTAAAAAAAAAACGTACGAACTTTTTAAATCTATTTTACAAACTCTTTAGCGAGAGTACGCTATTATGGAGAAATGTATAGGTATATGTTTCGACTAGAAAAATCATAGTAAATAGTTTGATATAAAAAAAAAGTCCCGGAATACTGTCTTTTAAAATAATTAATACCAAAATACTGACAATAGGTAGTTTAGAAAGTTTTAATATATCTGAAAACTACAAGTTTGTACGACAAAAGAATTCTTGTATTTTTACTTTTATTTTTATTTTTTAAGGATTTAATAATTTTAATAAACAGTTTTAATAATTATGCTTTCTGTGAAACAATCTGTTATTTATTTTATTTTTACTAAATTAATATAATTGTATACTGAAATTACTTTAATTGAGTATTTTGTTCTTTGAGATCATTTATTGTGCTAGTGTTGTCCTTTTCCGGAGTATTTCCTTGAACGGTTTCCAAACAAATTTTCTGATAATTCGAAAATAGACAAACGTTAAAAAAATTAAAAAAAAGTTAGTAAGTTGACAATTGTTATAATAGTGATGCTGAGTCAATTGAAAAGGTTTTTCGGGGTACATTTTTTTTTAATTATAAAATAAAAAAATTCTGAGCGTTGCACATTTGAATATTTTCGATAAGTATAAATGATACATATTTAAATTTCGAAATACAAATTGTTCGTTTTTTTTTTTTTTTTTTTTAACGACTTTTCCAAATTTGAATTTAAAACCACTTATTACAATTAATAATGACGTCTACCCTTTTTTTTTTCACTGAGTACAATTTATAATAAACATTGTTGATAATTTTTGCAGGGTGAAAATATCGAAAAATTCAAATATTTCCCGGATTTTTTTGAAAATATTGTGCTACGTCTAAATATTACAAATATAAAAGTACTCGATTAAAATTTTAGGTCACTATGATAACCATAAAAACCATATCACAGTTAAATTATTGTGTAAATATTTTTGTATTTGCTGACGATTTTTTCTTCTAGATTTCTCTTGTTGTTCAGAAAAGAAAATAAAATTCAAAAAAAACTACTACCCGATGCACCGATAATAGACAAAATTTTCTAACGGAAACCACGCTGTTTATGTTTACGATGATTGGAGCAAGATTTCTGGTAGAAAAATTGTTTTTACGTATAGAAAAAAAAAATCACAAAACAATAAAGTAAAAACTATTATTATTATTTTTTTTTTTTTTGTTATTACCAACGCGCTGATCTCATTTAAAAATTCTTCACGTTCGTCTTCAAGTGCCGTTCTTGCGAATCTTTCTTTTTTTAAATCTCGTTGCGTTGATGCTAGCATACCGGGTAACGATTCAAATTCTTTAAGTCGCGTCATTAAAAGTTCCTTGAATAACAATGGATACAAAAAATATGGCTAAATTAATAGGCGTTTACATTTCCTTATTTTTTTCTTATTAAATCAATTTTTTAAATATGTGCCTTATTCTAAAAAATATTAAATTTCATAAGTCAATAGTTCAAATTAAGAAGGATTTTACTATCGTAAATAATAATAATTTAGTGACCGTGATTGTATTGAGAGAACAGAGGTATATACTGATAATATTTTTTTATATTTTATTATTTTATCATTTATATTTGTTTGTTTTCCACAATATGGATTTTTAGATAAGACAATAATATTCAAATTATTTTCGAATTTTGGATCGAAACCAAGTTTTGTGTTTAACGGGATTCGGGGACAATTGAAACCCGAATTTGTATTATTTAGATGCCGGGAACGGGTTATATAGTCACGAAAACTCACCGAATTAGAGCTAAGTAATAGTTTCGGTATAACTACACATAATCACATAAGAATACGATCTGTAGAATATTACAATAACCATATTTCGTATTACAGTATAGAAAAAACAGTTAATTAGACATTTTAATCAGTTTTTAATCGGACATTTAAATATAAACCCAAACTTGAACCGTAAAATTACCGAAATGGAGCGAAAATACCTAAACATAATAAAGATGATTGTAGTAAAGTATTATATAAGCAATAAAGATAAATCGGGTTTAATTTGTATAGTAAAAAATGTGGGTTCCGAGTTTCGGGTTTAACCGGGCTTAGATTTTTTTTTTTTTTTTTTTTTTCCATTATTTTCCAGATTTTCTAAACCGAATTGTTTTTCCTTAAACATTGATTTTTGATATATATTATCGAATGAACTAAAATATAAATGTACGAAAAAAAAAATCCTTTGTGCACTTGCCGCTCTTAACATCTGAAAAAGACTAATTTCGAACGGGATATACGACTATGAGGTAACGCCAAAAGCTGAATGAATTATTTCGTTAAATTTGCACGCAGAGTAATTATTACACTCGATAAATTTGAGCCTTGAGGCTCGTTACTAAAATAATAATTTATAGCATTAAGTCCGCGTATTTTGTCGTCGGTTTTATTTTTATTATTATTATTATTTTTTTTTTTTTTTTTTGTTATTTTCGATTTTGGGTCACCCCGAAACGCGCGCAATTTAACAATTAATTACCATAACTTTGTTTGAAAACGTTCTATTTATTAAGTCGCTGCGTGTGATTTATGTATCGAGCATAGGTATTATATTATACTACAATGTGCACAGTCTCCAAAAATGATATCCTGATGGAAAAACAACCGTTAAAATAATCTCGGTTCAGCATGTATCAAGACTAAACATTTATAAAATGATTACTTATGGAAACAAAATTGTATTTAAATCGTTACGAAAAAGAAAAGTTCCCATTCGTTTATCCATTCGGGTGCTATTAGGGACTTTCGAGTTCCACATTATGATTTTATTAGATTTTACATTCAATATTGAATTGCGAAAAAGTAAAAAGGGGAATCATATTATATTTTTATAGTTTCCAATTATTATATTGAAACTTTTCGGATGCTATATTCTGTACAGTTAGGAGATATCCGGTAATACGTGGTAACTACATGAGTGCGTCGTATCGTATGATACAAATTAAACAACGCGTCGACCTTTCGAAAATTTCAAATCATCTAATTGCATAACACTTACGATTTTTCGAAATTTACTTTAATAACGGTCGTGTAAATAAATCACATTATATAAATTGTATGCCGTCGATATCTATGAAATTTATTATTCAATTTGTAACTGAGTGGTTTAAATGTCCGCCGTTGAGAATTATTTATGGGTAATTTTGGGCATGAATTTTTTATGCAAGTCAAACAATGTAATAAAGTATTTATGTTGTTATTTTTTTCCAAAAAACATATGTAATGAAAACATGGAATATTTAACATGAAAATGTTTAATTTAAATTAATTTTTAATACGTATGTAAAAAATATTATACCTACTGTAGGAAATTTAAAATAATTGTAATCACATTTTACTTTTCATTAAAAATTCAAAGTCACTACTAGTTAATGGTTGGGTACACCCTTAAAATTTACAAAAATATTATTTAACCGTTTACATTTTTAACACTTGCTATGTAAAACGCATTGTAGACAATTGCCTGGATATAAATTCCAAATATTTATGATCGTATATGAAATAAATTGAATATCTGTTCGTCTCAAAATCTAGATGATTTTGGAACGAACGTTTTTGTTAAAATAAATTTCGTCTTTCTACTTCTCAACGCTGAATTAAGATGTGCGTCTCCTGTTCGTCAACAATCAACACAAAACTCACACATTTTTCCGGTCAATATTAAATTTCTAAATATTTTATTTTATAAGTATCATAAACTGTAATAAAAAATAATCATAATTTACAATCAAATTACGACATTTTTGTCAAAAACTTTTCTGAATATTATCAACTAGTGAAAGCCACTGTTTTTTTTTTCTTTTGGTGAACTCTTAAAGCTCCATGATATTATGCTCTTTCTTTCTCTGCTCTCTTTTTCTTCCTGTAATGGCACGCAGAGTTATTACTATTATTACAAGTTTAAAAACTTAAAGTTTGAAAGCTCCGATACGTTCAAAAAGCATTCGAATTCCATTAAGAAGTGTCACCCGAAATACAGTAAATCATAAAAATATATAATATTATATATTACTATAGTATATCTACTGGATAGATTTTCGTAAAAAAAATCATATATTATCATTAATTTGTTCGACTCAGTTTTCAAATCCTGGTTTAATTGACATGAAGTATATTACAATAATAAAATATACCTAAATAGCAGTTTATTCAGTTAGTACGGAAGATTTAAAAAAAAATAATCAGTAACGAACTAATAATAGTATACAAAATAATGATATCTTACGTTCATTCGATTAAATTCCGCTTCGTATTCTTGGGAAATTGTATTCTTTTCCTTCAAAAGAGTTTCGACACGACATTTGAGTTTATGGTTGTTTTGAAGCTCTTCCAAGTACTAAAATGGGTAAATTATTCGCATACAGGGTCATTATTGTATTTATCACGGATCACCAAATTTTGCTCAGAAAGTTTTTTTTTTTTTTAGAAATTTAAAACAATACCTAATATCACTAAAAATTTAAAACTGAAATTAACACTACTAGTTTTACCTAAAAGTTAAAATTACTGTTGTTTAATTGGAAAAAATGTATATACATATATACAAATATGTACGGTCTAATTGACCTAAACACATTATCACAATCGCAATTACTGACTTTAGTTTTTTTATCTTCGAGTTCGGTCAAATGAAAATCTAACACCATCTGAAATTCACATTTTTCTCGTTTTGCCACTTCCAAACGATGTTTCAAACTTTCGAGCAAATAATTGTTATTCGAACATGCCAATGCGGAATCCTAATAACATGTACCGTAAGTTATCCAGCGAATATAAATCATAAATCGTGATAAATTTAGAGCTCAGAAGTTATAGGAATTGCATAATGTTCTGTATGCACTAAATTTTTAGCAAACTAAGCTAGAAATACTTTCTATGCGATAGAGAGTTTAAAAAATGAACATTTCAAATGCATATTTTGTATATTTCGTTAATTTTAAAAGAAAAAATGCAAATTTTATTGATTTTCGGATATTTTAATGCATATTTAACATTTTCTAAAAATATTTATTTTTTTTCCTCTCCTAACTAATTTTTTTTTAAATAATATTAAATTTTTAAGTCAATATTATTTAATGTAGTTTTTTATTGTTATTTCTTACTGCGTCATTCTATTATTAATTTAACGACAACGGCACTATTCATATTTAATCTTTATCTTCATATTAACAATGACATTATATGTTTTTGAATAACAAACTAAACAATTGTTGCATATTTATTACATTTTTTTGCATATTTAACATTATTTAATGCATATTTTAGAATTTCATCGTGCATATTTGTATACATACGTTGCCTTTTTTAGACCCTATTACTTCCGAGCCCCAATAATAATAATGTTATGTTGCATAAGGAAATGTTATCATAGATTGTCTGCGATTACGTTAGTTTTCGCGGAGGTCAAATCGAACAGTTGTTTTTCTAACTGTACGACCTGCGCCTTCGATACTATCAAAGAGTCTTCGAACGACCTGTATTTGTACTTAGCTTCGTCCAACATTTTTAGTAGATTTGCTATTTGGTTTACTTTAGCACTGGAAATATGTATAAATAGTTTTTTTGTCAAACAGTCTAACGGCGATCGTCGTCGTAGGCATCATTTGAAATGAAATCATTGAGGCAACAAACATTTTGAGTAATTTGTTTAATTCGTTCGTAATCTAATGATGTGATTGGGAGCAATCGCTAAGTCCTAATACATTTTTCATTAGAATCGGATAGAAATCTATCAAATAAATATGGAAATATAAGTAAGTAATCCGTCGAGTTTACATTTATTATTACCGATAGTATAATATTACATTAGTGTATTGTATTATATTGTTGAAAGAAGCAAGTAAATTAGAAATGTTTAGAAATCACTCATAGCGTTACGTACGCAGATGATATTATGTAGTGCTTAATTTGCAACCCCAATGGAGATAGCCGGGTAACAGTCGCTACCTCTCGCTACCCCGTAATGACGCCTACGATCGTCGTCGCATATTTACTACTCACTCTCGGTCCGCCATTAATTCGTTATAATCTTCACGCAGGCTGTTCAGTTGGGTTTTATTATCGTCGCCCTGAATCGTTCCCACGCAATTCTATTTAGACGTTACGTTTGAAAAAACATATAACAAAATATATAAGTTTGAAACGTATTAAAAATGTGTACGTACGACGCATTGGGAATCGGCTACGTTCAATATTTTTCTAGCTAACGCTATTTGGCACTGATCGCGTTTCATTTCCTTCAGTTCGTCTCGCAATCGCTTTATTTCGGCCATCATGTTCGTTTCGGTTTTCTATAAAATTATATTTCGTTTAATTGTACATCAAACTCATATTTTTAGGAAACCACAATATTATAAGTGTTTTCTTATCCAGAAAAAATTCAAGCAAGTCTCACTATGTACGAATTACGGTTTATTTTAATTAATTTGCGATTTATTTTTAATTAACACATAAAATAATTGTCTTATTGTCCATTATAAAACATATAATTAAAAAAATATGCTCTTGATCATTAAAAAAAAAAAAAATACTTGTTATCATCCATACCAATAAATCTCTATTTTAATAATCAGATTTATATCTTAATTCGAAAACGACCTTCGGCCGAGGTGAAAACTTAAAACTTGAAATTAATTAGGTGTGCTCAACCTAAAAATAATATTTGTTTAAGGAATGAAGTGTGCACTCTTATATTTTGTTTCCCCCTTGATTCGTTTTAAATAAATATAATATAATAAAAGGTTTACAATACATTTCAAAGCTAATTATATTTTTATATTTTTATCTATATAAATGAGAATCAGGTTATGTCAGAGCCGTTATCTGAGATAAATAATCGAATAGTCTAGATAAATCTTTTCAAGTCTTAGTTTATATATTATTTTTATATATATCGAAATCATAGGTATATTATGTGATTTATTTTAATACGGGTAATGAAGTAATGTATTAAGTTACATCGACCACGCAACATTTTTGATAGTTTTTGTAATTGTATACTAAATTTGATACGCTATTCCTGCTTTCAGCATTCGTTTTGTGATAAGCAATGAAAGAAATTATAATTTTAATTTGTATGTATACAAAATTGATTGATCATTTATCGTCATCTAGTTAATTATTATTCTAGAAATTATCACTTCAGTGTATCTAGATGTAACGAATTGTATTGTTATACAATACTGAGTTAATAATGTACTGTATAGAATAATGCATATTAACAAAGAATACCTTGTCGACATTTGCTGAATGGCCCGCTGCATCATCCATTTTACATTTCATGAACGCCGGCTAAAATTAAAATTATTATTTTAAAAAATATATGTATAGCTGTTATAATATTATGTTTGGATATTTGTTAATAATTGAAATGTTCACCTTCTTCTGTAAAACATCTGATAAAGCTTGAGTCCGTTGGTTCTAAACGAAAATAATTTTTTATTATATACCTGAATAACAATAATAATACGGGTACCGATATTCGGATATTACAGAACTATTTAACGAACTCAACAAATCGCTATTCTGTTGATGCAGAAGTTTCATTCTCCCTTTCAAGATCATTAGATCGTCTCTGATGGCTTCCTTTTGGTAATCCGTTTCTCCGGTTCCGGATGATTTGCAAAGCTGGTGATTAGAAGCTTTGTTGACATTATCTGCACAACAATTTTCTAAGCACTCCGACGATTCGTCAGTGCACGAACAAATCGAACCGTATTCGTCCTAAAATATAGGACATTTCGTTACTTAATCTTATACAATGTGTAAGCAAAATATAACACTATCATCGTTGACTGACTTCGCAAGCTTTATTTCCGTTTTTACTGTCATCGCCTATAAAGAAAATTTTCGGTTTTTTTGTACAGTGATCGTCGATTATTACCAGTGGATCAAATAGATCTTCATCCTAGAACAAATAAAAATAAAAATCATTAAGTTAAAAAATCTGAACTGTAACAATACATTTTAAATTTTAGACCGGAGGAATAGGGAAAGGTAATAAATAGCATATCTATTTTAAATGATAAATTGAAATTTCTTCCCCACTTTTCTAATCTAAACTTTAAATAATTATAACTCATGGAAGAAATATCTAATATTAGTGTTATGCATACCAATATTTCCAAATAAATATTGTCTATTTGAATCCGTGTTCAAAAATAAGGGTTCCTATTTAAAAACCAAAAGTATATACTTATTTAAGATATATGGAGTAGGGGAGTAAATAATACAAATAATAATTTTAAAATAAAATTATTAAACATAAACAGAATTAAATTCATTTAAATTCCTCCGAGGTGATTGCTGGTTTATGATAAAACAATTACATTGTGCAAGTAAAATATATTTACTCCAAATAAAATTGTATGACTAGACGACACGAATAAGCACAGAAAAAAACGTACAGGCTCGTATTTGAGTAGGAGGGTGATGGGAGCAAATAAAGACCTATTCCGATCGGAATTTCAGCAGAAGTTTATATCAATTAAATGGTGGTCTTTTCACCACTTATACTGAATTTCCGATCAATTATAGGCCTGAAAATTTTTATCTACATAAAACCAAAACAAATTTAAAACAACCGAAAATTTCAAATATCCAGAATTATATTTTTAAAAAAAAAAATATACCATGTCTAGAAAACGCTAATATTAGTAAGTATTGTAAGAAAATGTCAATTTTCTATGATTATTTTCACTATATTACAACAAAAGTGCTAAATTGATAAATCAAAACATAAATATTTTCGATATTCCGATGCTTTATTTTCCGATTAGTCGTAGTCGTAGTCGTCCAGTTCCTAGGACGGTTTCTAGTAACAAATTTAGTCTAGCTTGTATATTGAGGAACTGAACGACTAAAAGTTGGTTTCCAATTTCCGAATCGGTTCCCGGATGGTCTATAGGTAATATAAGAATTCGTTTCTGTGAGCTATCATAATGATAATAATAATATATTAAATTAACTTTATACATTTAACCAACGATAATTTCTTTCACGTTTTATACAGACTTAGTTCTGTCCAAAATACATAGGTACTGTTAAAAGTGTTGCTAGTCAGTCGTCTGTTTACATTATAAAAGTACAAGCAATAAGCTGCGGGAGTATGTATTTATGAATGCTAATAACAATAAAATAAGTATACTATGTAATAATACATTTTTCAAATATCAAATAAAATGCTATCAATTATATCAGTTGAATACTTTAAATAATATTTAAAAAATAATAATAATTTGGTATGAATTTACAACATCCATTGATTAATGTATTGTATGCAAACTTGATATTTTGCAATCTTTCGTTTTTTTAATATTCTCATCAATTAACTTTTCCTTTTCAGTAATTTTTTTTTTTTTTTTTAATTTTAATTTAAGCATGCTTCTTTGCTTTATATAGTTTTCTATTAGATCTGTTTTAGTTGTTCAATGAATAAAAAAAACAGTCTGTTTATGTTCTGCTTATATTACTGTACAGTAATATACGTAATAATAATATTGGTTACAAAATGAGAAGTTTATCATAAAATCTCCGGGCATTTTAAGCTTAGACAAATATGATAACATAAAAGATTCGTACACAAGGAAACCAATTCGAACGGTTGAATAACGATTAGTAACTTTCATCGGGAACCAATGCATGCACTTTATTTGACCCCGGGACCAATTCCGGGATCCAATCACCCCTTGTGTTAATGGTTGGCGCAGGATTTTTGACGGAAATGTAATTCATCAACAGAAAATAAAATTTAAAAAAAATAAGCACATTTATTAACTCATTATGGAGGAATATTGTATTATTCATAGAAAAATGAACCCTCCCTCTAGACGTGTGCTCACGGACCTATTTACTTCTTAAGTATCGTGATAAATAGATATTAATATTTTTATTATGCAGAAAACAGACAATTTATTTTTATCCGATATTATTTATTTCGTGATTACTATTAGCCTGAGAAACATGTTTGATTATATATACAGATACGCGCACGGGCGTTTATAACGTAATTTTCAAAGGAAAGACAAACTGGAACCCACGTCAAGGCTCGATAAAAGCAAAATTTTGCGGGTTTTAATATTTTACAAGAAACATCACCCCCCCCCACCATATGGACGTCCAATTCAATACGTAAAATACGATAAATTAAAATTGAAAAGCGTTCGTGAAATATTTACAATATTTTTTTTTATATTAGAAAAAAATATGTTATACAATTTGAATTTAAAACGAACAAGACTTATTACTTATGATGCCATAAAATATCGCTGAGCTTATAACTACTTTTAAAACGAAATATTATAAAGGTAATAAATGTTTTACGAAATGTACACCGTTACACAGTGAACAATTTTTTACAGTTACGGGCAAAACCGTTTTGCATTAAAATATGCAATAATAAAAAATAAAAAACTAAAACTCGCAACAAGTACGTCTTAACGTATTAATACTACCTACGTATTATGATTGTTCAACGTGTGAAAGATGTTTTTCATTCTGAAATCGTTTCAAGTTTGTATAACAAACATTTTTCACGCTAATAATATTTCAAGCTTTGAACCGAAAGAGTCGTGTGTTTTTTAACTTGTTAAATAGTGTTATTATTATTATATTTAAATATGATTTGATGGGCCAAATGGTCCTACGAGTACATAACGTACACATTTCCATCACCGCCATCTCCAATCTGCCATCTGCCATCCACCCAATGATTATAATTTCAATTTTTTTTTTTTATTTTTTTTTTATTCCATGAATTTCCGTTGCTATCGCGGCAGTTTACATGCGTTAAGTTTTTATCAGAAAAATATTTCTACAGCTCCCTCCGTGGGTTTTCTGATGTTCACGATAGTTACATGTTAAAAACTAGCACAAAAATATTCTGCTTTGTGAATAGGCGGTAAAATGTTCGGACGTGTATAACTAGTGCATAATAGGTAAACATATAATAATATGATTAGATGTGATAGTGAAACTTAAAATAAATATTGAATATACTACTACACATATAGGTACTCTATATATGTGTAAATAAAATTTAAAAAAATAGCGTTAACAATTGAAGCGTTTTTAGTATTTAAAATGTTTAAACGTTTTTCTATTTACTCAACTCAAATCGATGGAGTTAATTGTTCGTATTAATCGCCTCGCGTCATTTCTCAGTGTCTACAATTATAATATTACGAAATTCCGTACCAAAACGTGGTGGAATATTCATAACATAATACCTACCTTTGTATTTTATACACATTCGTATCAAATGAAAAAATATAACAAATCCAATGCTTAATAAATATTTAAAACGCATCTCTTACGCAATCGTCAAACGTGCTCTTGCGGTCGGTTTCACCGCCCGCAACATTATTGCCCGATATCTTGTCGGGTAGATCGATGTCGACTTTTCGGTACTCGAGATCCTCAACGTCGAAATTAATCGATTTGGCCAATTCAAGTACCTCGTTGATAGCGGTCTTGTATTCTTCAATCAGCTCCTTCAACTTTTCTTTTAGTTTGCTTATCTCCGAATCGTTTTCAACCGTATTTTTACAGTTCTACATCACGTAATCCAAACACAAATATTACTTATACAAACGTTATTATATTTTAACGATAATACTACGACTATAATCGGCCGAGACGTACGTTTTGTAAATTGTGTAAATCGGTTTTCAGTTTCACAATGTTTTTTGCGATGTTCTCGGCTTTTTCATCGGCATAGCGTATCAATAATAATTGTTCGGCCGGGTCTTCGGGATTATAATTTGTCGCTACGATTTCCAATTCATCTTTGCTAGCCTTAAATAAAATTCATTTTTATTAATTATAAAGGTTGAGCCAATAGAACGGTAGAAATTTAAAAATACCTTCTATATACCTAACGCGTAATATAATATATTTATACATACCGTCATTTTGCTCTTACAGTTTTTTTAAAAAAAAAAAAAAAAAATGTTTTTCAATTTATTTCACAATAAAACCGTTTCTGTTTATCGCACAAACAAAATGTAATCACTGAATGTTTGATTTGTTTCAATGATCGTATCTAATCAATAAGCCAACTACTAAAATACGAGAGTATTTTATTTTTTTAATACAAATTGAACTCGACATGAAAACCTGCAAATGATTTCTTTATGCACAGTTTTTAAATTAAAAATAAATATAACGAATGTACCTACATAAAGTAATTTTCATTTCATTAATTTTTTCAACAATTTTATTCAAATTTCTATTACGCAATCCCAAAAATACTGCAGTTAGTGACAGAGACGAATATAAGACTCTACTAACACGATTACAGAATATTGAACGTATTACATCGGGTGCATATCTATTTTTTCTATAAATATAATAGATTGAATGCAGCAATACTTATCAGTAGTAATATTATGACAGAAAAATAAACTAGCATTATGTGATACTTCACTAAATTGTATGGTACGTAGTACGCGCCATTACATTGTACGTGTTCGAAAAATGGTACCGCGTGTAAAACATCACGAATATATGACAAACGAACCTAGATCATTGTAGATTAGAACACTGGAAAATACATAATAATATCAATCAATAAAAACCCATTGTCCATTGAGATGCGGTGGCAGTATTGAAATGCGAAATAATAACGCGGGCAGAACACGTGCGGTAGGCGCATTGCGTATCATATGAACCGAGAAGTGTAGTGAAATCAAAGACTGTTGATGGACGGACACGTCAGGGAATAAAACGTCGGTGAAGAAATGGCAGCCGACGACAGGGTTAGATTGAAAGGGGTGGTGGTTGCGACAAAAGATCATGTATGGCTTATATTTAAAAAAAAAAAAAAACAGAGAAGAAGAAGAAAACGGGATTCACGACGTTAATATCTCGTGGTCGTTTCGGTTTAACCAAACAAGATGCGTTCATTATCTTTAACGGTCAATTAACTGATCAGGAATAATAATTAAAAAAAAAAAAAAAAAAAAAAACACCGCCATCGTATAACGTCAGCTGAATATTGGCTTTACACTGGGCTTAGGCTACACGACCGCCGCACTTGTTTAATTTAGATAACGCGCTTAGCAAACTCGAATTTGATTAAAACCAACGTAGCAGAAAGCCGCTGCTGTTTTAACGGTCTACGGTTTATCATAATACATATATATTATTATAATTACTTAATAATATTATTATGTAAACGTCTCTAGTTTAGAACGGACCTTTTGCGATTTTCTTTAGATGATATTCAAATACTGTGCATTCTGTTACAATGTTCGTCGGCATTACAGCGGGGCCGTTCCGGGATAATTCACTATTAATTCGGTAAAAAAAAAAAAAATTAATAATAATAATAATAATACCTCGGGTGAATTATCGAAACTCTCGTTTAACGGGATTTTTTTTTTTAATTTTTTCGCGAAAACTGTCTTTCAAAAACCAAAATCGGTTGCGGTTGTGTTACGATAATAAAATACGCCGTCAGCAAACATACGGTTTCAACTAACGCAAATTATCGAAGCGTATTGTTGTCCCGACAGAAGAAGTTCGTGCGAGCACGTTAATTTTTAATTACAGACAGAAACCGCGTTGGTATCGCTAACGTTACGCCATAGTGATGTCATCACGTCTTTAAATCGGCAAGTGATAAGTACGGTGTGTAATGTAGTCGACGGCGTCCTTGCGCTACAGCGCAATACCCTGCCGTGTTTGTATCCCGCGTTCGTAATAATATCATACACGAGCACGCGGCGTTCGCGCGTTAATTCGCCGACGGAAGTTAAATATTATAATTACAGCGGTGCGGCTCCGCGTTGCGGCACGGCCGACTTGTCAAAGAAAATAAAACGATACGATACGCGCGGCGGCGACACAGGTACGCAGCGGCGCGCCGCCCGCGCGGTAGGCGCCCGTCTCTTATCGCTTCGCGCCCGGACTCGGTGCGAGACGCGGTGTCGATCCGTACAACGTCGACGTTATAACGTCACCGCCACCTTGCGCGTTCGAACCGAACGATAAAAAAACGCGCACCAATATGATATTGTTATCGCGTCGGGATCCGGAAACGGTTCGGTTCGGTTTTCGCCCGATAACACCTGCACGTTTATAACGACTCGGTCGTTTGGTTAATTTGGCTTTCCAAATTGACCGTTTGTTAATTCGACGTGCATTATACTCGGGATTGTATAATCCTGTTGATCGCAGGCGATTTTTAGATTACTATGATTGCGTCGTTGTATTTTTTTTTTTTTCTTTTTCAGTATAAAAAATAACTATAGAGTCGTCGTGAAATAATATAATCGACGGAATACCCGTTAAATGTATTATTATGTAGTAATAGCATTAGTGTTCCTTAGACGTGGTATAATTTCAAAGGTAAATTTCGACTATTTCAAATTCGAGTTTTATTCGATTTATGCGGATTTTTTGTTTCGCTTAGTTTAAAAGTTCGGAAATTTGACACAGAGTTCGTAATGAATTGTTTTATTGCCGGAAGAACAGAAGTTTAGCAAAACTACGGAGAAGTATTATCGCACCTAAACACGTCTATTCCGGTCTTTCTCCTCCCCTCTTTCCTCTTACGTTTATTTTCATTACAATTCTTACTGCTTCTGATTCGTCTCTCCCACACAAATGTCTAGTATCTTATATCGAATTACTAAAAATTAATGTATCGAGGATCTCGTTACTTATTTTCAACTATCTTGTCCATCCCTTCTTCCCGTAATTTCCCAACCTACTAATAACTTCTCTGTCGTCAGTGTCTGGGCACGACTATTATATAAATTTCCCAAGTACTTATATTCTATACGATATATGTACTAGAATATTATAATAATACATGTTTGTTTTATTATTATTATGACAGAAATCATTTGATTCAAAACAAACAAAAGAAACGTAAATATTTTTTTTTAACTTATTATAATAATATTGTTTGAAAATGGAGATTTTTTCGAGTTTTATTTATTTTACTTTCCACTTGTACAGTTAATTGGTAGGTAAGTAGGTAGGTACCAACTTTTTATTCTGTAGTGGCCACTTGTAATAATTATTTTTATTTTAATATTTTTTAGTGAGATTATGTTGTGCAGCTATTATGTTCATACGTAGATATTATTGCAACGTCTAAATTGAATACTATCAAAAAAAATATGTGGTAATTTTTTTTTATAGTAAAACCGATCGGTTTTTTATTGAAACATTATGAAAACCATTATTCAATTCATATCTTTAATTCATAACATAAAAGGTTTATCGTCGGGTTTTTTATAAATTTATAATTAAATGAAAATGAAAATGTGTGGAGTTACTTGTTAGCCAGCCACACTTGCATGTATGTATACTATATAGAATCGTTGTATATAATTAAATTTAGCGAAGTCGTCGATAATCTTTGTATGACCTTGAATTAACTCCGAAATGTACTACTTTTCAATTGATACCGACGTTAATAAATTATGTAGACGTGTCATGGACGTCCGTACATAATATGTTTCGATTATTTTCATCGAAGAAAAACTTTGGTGTGATGAAGATAAAGAAAAAAGATTACCTTGTTATAGACATTAGATAGTATAACGCGTAGTTATCAAAAAAATCAAAGTAGGCCCGGGCCTTTTAGGTCCAACCGCGAGGGTTTTTATTGCGTATCGCAATACAAACGAAAATTAAAAGTACGGTTTTTTTTTTATATATTGCGTATGTATAGCGAGTTGTTATAGTAGTATACAATTAAAACGAATATTTTTTTACTGTATTAATAATAACGTCTATTAAAATAATAATATAATATTATGTTACTGCGCTGTACGTTTATTATTTCCATCTCTGTCATACATCAAAACTTTTCTAACCGTATTATTTGTAGCGTACATATCATTAATAATTATTAAATCGGTCGAAATAATATTCGAAATACATAAATGTTTTTAAAATGAAAAGGTTTGTAATACCATTGCACAGTAGAGAAGTATGTACCTATACGTTATACAACATAAAGGTACCACGAATTATATTCAATTATAAAAAGTAACGCACAAATATTAAATATTTAGTGTTGTATTTAAAAACTTTTTAGATTGTATCTATTAGTTTTACTAAGTGTGTGTGTTAGTGTGTGTGCGTGTGCGAGTGTTCTATCCGTAAACAGCTTTTCACCAAAGATCGTCAACTCCAGAGCTGATGTCTGGTAACAAATTCAGTTATGATGCAATCGGATGGTTTTTTTATTTTACTTGTGGTTTTCTTAATAAAGTAGAAAAAACGAGAAATGTTTACGATAACGGTGTTATTTTCGATTTCGTTTTAATTCATTTAAATCGGTTAGAAATAATCGTGGAGACCTAAAATTTTTGCAAAATAATTATATGAGTGGTGTCTAGACGTGACATGAAATATTCTGGTAATTATTGTGCTATTTACAGCATTTTAGTTTTTATTCGGTTTTTATGCGTGGGTAAAATTGCATTGGCCCTTCAAAAATGGACGACAATTTAGCACGAGTATCATCGTATACTTAGGCGTACTTGGTGGTAAATATAAAAGTTGAACGTTATAGATTAAATTATTTGTTTTTTTTACAAACGTTGAATGTTTCTTTTTTTTTATATATACAGGATGATTCACTACGTGTGCTCACCCCATTTTGTTGGTTAAATTTTTCTTACATGGTTTTACATTCGATACTTTCGGATACTTGGATTTTTCACAATATTTAAGAAGTAACCTGTAGTGATACCAACGTGGTTTTTTAAATGAGAACCTACATTAAAAATACCATAAATATACGAAATATCACTTTAAATAAATTGTGGTGTTAAAATTTTTGATTTTCATCAATTACTCTTTTGTAATCTAAACATAAATGTGAAATATCTCGTCAACGGGTTGATGGAAATTAAAAGTTTTATCACCAAAATTTACTAATAGCATC